CGTTGGCTTTATTCACTCATTTGCATTCTTTCTTCTTTGTTCTCCTCCGACCGCATCATTTCAGAGGACCTGTCTTCAATCTCACAAATTCTTTCTTTTGCTTGATCCATTCTGATGTTGATGCTCTCTATTGCACTTTTCATTTCATTCATTTTATTCTTCAGCTCAGTTTGGTTCTTTTTTATGATTTCTATCTCTTGCTTAACTCATTTTGTCCATTTATTGTTTTCATGATTTCATTACATTTTCTTTCTTTGTTTTCTTGTGTCTCATTGGGTTTCCTTAAAAACAGCTATTTTGAATTCTTTACTGGGTAAATCACAGATCTCCTTGGCCTTGGGATAGGTTACTGGAAGATTATTATGATCCTTTGGCAATGTCATATTTCACTATTTCATATTTCTTGGAGTTTTGTGTAGCTGTCTTCACATTTGAGGTAGCAGTCACCTCCTCCAGTCTTCACTAACAGCCTTCAGGAGAGAACTACCTCATGTCAGCCCTGCTAGGAATTCTGAGGCTTTCTCAGACCTTCTATGGATGGACCTGCTCCATGCTTCTTTCCCCCTCTTGTGGCATTATTCTTAAGCTTGTGTGCTTTCTCTCAGTCCTGGAACACACCAGGCCAAGTGCTGACAGCTTCACTTTTTTTTCCACAAAAGTGATGCTAAAGATCAAGTTTGTGGTCTTTCTCTGGCCCACAGATTGGGGCCAGCTTTCTGTGCATGCTCACGAGCTGTCTGCCAAAGCTCGTCATAGGAATTGCACACAGGGAGCTGGCCAGGGAGTAGGGTGTGGTGTGGGTGAGGCATGCTGAGAGTTGGAGGCTCCCGTGAGCCAGTTAGGGGAATCCATGGCTGAAGTGTCCCCAATGGCTCATGGGCATGCTTCTTGATGGAGTCTACAATGCAGTTAGTAGGATCCGTGTCCCTTTAATGCCCTCCAAGAGTCCTATTGAGAGTTCTCCCAGCCTCTTCCCCCCCTAGTCACGCAGCTCATGATTCAATACTCTGGATGGGGCAAGAGAGAAATGAGCCTCTTGGGCAACAATCCACATGGCTGAGGAAGCCAGATGTTCACTCACACACTCTTACTCTCCCCCACAGGAGAAATCATGGGCCAAGAAGATCCCTCTTCACCCTAAGCTGTGCTGCTTTGGGGGAAGGATGAGATGGGTAAAGTCAAAATCTTCCTCTTACCCTCTCCATGGCATCCAAACTCATAATTTTTTTGCTCCAACAGTGTGTTGGAATTTCTCCACTAGAAACCTGGACTTCCAGAAGGGCTCTCTCATCTGTGGGTGATTGTCTAAGACTATTTTCCAGGGGTCCCCAGACTATAGCCAAGAGGGGCTGAAGCCAATTCACAGACCACTGCAGGGCCCACAGCTGGGACCAAGGTCTGTAAACTTATTACCCAATGCACAGGTGGGTGAGACTCCTCTCGAGTCCCTTGGTATATGATGCCGGGTCCCACAGGTCCCACAAAGACACTTCTATCCCTGGATGGATGGCAAATTGTTGTTGTCGAGAGGAGGGACATGAACAAGGGATGTCTTATTCACCCATGATGCTGACGTCACTCCTATATAATTTTATTTAATTGCTCTTCGTATTAAATGAGAAATTATTATTAATAGTGTCAGGGTTACTACATTAAGCAGTGAGATTAGTTCTACTCAAAGCTTTCATGAATTTTTAAGCCTTTGTATTGAAGTATAATATTCATATAGAAAGCACACTGTCATAAGTATATGGTTTGATGCATTTTCACACACTCCCATCCCACTCATTCTAAATTAACCTCCCTAAGAGTCCGAGGGCTGAGGTACACAAGCTATGTCTGCAGAGTAATGAGACTCTTTTATCAATAAATACCAAAAGCCTCTATCTGCCTTACTCTTTTCTGGGTCAAAATGAAGAACAAATGAAATGAATGAAATAAAAATGCCAAAACTCATACATCCAAATGGGTATTTCCTTCCAAAGGAATCACCTTGGGAGGCAATATAATCATTCTAACATTAATTATAACCAACCTAGAAGACTCACAAGAAGTGAACCTCACTACTTCTAAGTCTAATCTCATTTTCTAAACCAAAAATTCGTCTTACGTAGCTTGATCCCCTTATTCACCAGACTTAGCTCCAAATGACTTTTTCACTTGCTCCAAAAATCAAATCCACCATAAGTGGGTGAAGATTTCCAGAACTGAGTGTGCCTGAGAGGGTCAGCCTGTGTGTACATGTATGTGTGTGTGTGAGTGTGTGTGTAAGTAGTGGAATGTCTGAAATGTTCATTTCTGAAGCATCCTGAGCAATGGCAGCATTACCAAAATCTGTATGGAGACAGCCTTGAAGGTCATTCCTTGTTAAATGCCTTTTTGCCGGTACCTATGCAAAAAATCAGCCCCCTTTGTCCAGAGTCAAATCCTTATAGCCATCAAGGACCCGTTTCAGTCCTGAGAAAAGCCCAGGGCTTATCCTTAGCTGCTTTTATGGGAGGGGGGAAAGGCAAGCAGCAAAGGAGATAGAGAGGAAAGCTGCTTAGGACTTGGGTTGACAATAATTATCTTTACTAAGTTAAAGCATTTGCATCTCTCTTGGGTCATTACAAAAATATAAACATCTTCCCTCTTGACCTGACACTTATTTCCTTTGCAGCCCCTATGTGTAGGTTTTGGGGTTCGGGCTCATAAATGCTGGAACTCGAGGCCTTTAAATGAGCAGAATCTTGTTCTCTGCCTTCTTCCTTCTCTTCCCACCTGTCTCCTGTCTTCTGAGCAGCCTCTGCTGTGTCACTGGGTCCAGCATTCCTCTGACACATTGTTCCAAAGAATTCAAACAAAAAAACATCCAAATGTTTCTAAAACCTTTGATACAGATAACATAGGTATGGTTTGTGGCTGCTTTCCTGAATAATCCATATAAAAGCCCTAATTCTCTGCATCCCATTAGCTGCTGGCATGGTTTGTGCGAAAATCAAGTAACAACCTCAATGTGAAAACAGGTGCATTGGCTAGGATCATGACCTTTTGAAGGTGACCTTGGAGTCCCAAGAACTCATCAGAAATCTTTAGGAAACTGCGGGCTGAGGTTACAACTCCTTCACAAGAGAATGGCCCGGGCTGCCAAAGGAAACCCAAGTCCAAAGGGTCCTTGACATCTTTACCCTAAGAGTCTGTGGACTTTTGTAGCAGATCTAAGCTCCCTCATTTTGCAATTTGCAAACATGCCCTTATTTAGTCTTTGGGGTGTGGACAAAAAAGCCTGTATGGAACCATGAGAAAAGTTTCCACATAGTTCCAAATGAATTAATAATTAAATGAAAAAAATTTAACCACAAGAAAGTATGGGTAAATTTCTAACCATGGCAGACAAATAGGATCCAGGATATAGAAAAACATGAGATACAAATTGAAATAGGCTTATTAAAAAGTTTGCTGCAGACAATCATTAATGCAAATTAAATCGACAAGAAATTACCATTTTTTCCCCACAAAAATGGCAAAATATTTTGGAATCTAATGGTCAGAATGTAATTAGACAGTACGCTGGTAGTATACAGCTGGTACAACCATCCTGCAAAACAATTTAGCAACATATATCCAAAGTCCATACCCTTCTTTCTAGCAAAACTACCACTAAAATTTTTTCTCTAAGGAAATGAGAGATACGATCAAAGATTTATGCCAAGATATTCATCACATTCTTCTGCACACCTGGAAAAATTTGAAAACAATCCAATTTTTTGGACTTAATCCAAAAATTTAATCCTGAGCACATGTTAAAATGCATTCGAGGACACCCACAAAATGAAATATTATGCCAACATGAAAAATGACATTTTTGAAGATTTTTTTAACAACTGAAAAAATACTCAACATATCAGCTTAAGCATATAGCAGTATACAAGACTCTAGTTTTTGTATTCCTTCAATTTTGTTTTTAAAGGATTAGCCACAGAGACAGAAAGAAAATATGTCAAAATGTTACTTATAGTTCTCAGATGGTTTTTGTGTTCCTCTTTTTTTTTTGTATTTTCCAAGTTTTCAACTATGAATAGGTATTACTTTTATAATCAGAAAAACCATCAAATTAAAATAAAAACACATTATGTTTAAAACTCTAAGATATTATAAAAATTATATTGGTATTTCATTTTATGACTTTTGGGGGGTCTTTAGACATTTTTCAGCTAAGTCAGATCTACATTTTTTGATGTGATGCCATTTTCCATGATAGGCTATGCATATATTTAGCATTCACCTTGCATTTTAATTCAAAATGCAGAAACTGTAACAAGAGTATAATTAGACCAAATTTTAATTTTCCCATAATAGGATAAAAAAATCAACTGTAGACATGATTTCTGAGAAGCAAAGCCAGTTTTCTTGGAATAATTGCTTTCTTGCAGCCTTTCTGACGTTGGGGAAAGAGCCTCTGTCCAGAGTGGCCTCCTGGCTGAACCCCACCCTCACTATGACGCAGAGCCTTGGGCACCTGCAGGTCCCATCCCTCGTCTGGTTGCAGCTGTTCTTTTCTATTTGGGACTTCCTGTCCTGAGAACTAAATGTCACGGTCACATAGCCATTTGCAACTCCTTTCCTAACTCAGATTTGGAAGATTCCAGGTCTTTCCAGGCAAAATAGGGCAAGTCCTATGGTAAAGCCTAATCTCACCTCTTCCAGTACACTCTCCTCGGTCACTCCCACCCCAATTTTGTCCTTTATCCTTTGGTGGTGCTGTCTCCTGCTGACGTATCAACATGCTTTTGTTCCCATGGTTTTCTACATAGGACCTTTATGTCTCTCAACCCCACATCCACACATTTTTCTGAAGCTGCTTCTTTGTTCCTCCCTTAGATCGTCATGATGTTGAGCACTTGCGCCTACATATGGTGCATTTGCAATCAAGGGTTAATTATGGATACTGTTTCTGAAGATTCCCTCCATAGTTCGCTCTTTCTCAAACTGCATGAATAAATACTCAGGCCAGGGCTTACCTGCACTTGTGCACCGGATTTGTGGGGGGTGTCTTGAGGGGCAGCTGCAGGTCCTGCGTGTAGGGTGCACTGAGGGTCAAGGTGTCACCCTCACAGGTCAGGGAAATCAGGACCAGGCGAGGTTCCTGTCGAGCAGTAACCATGTTCCCATTCTCATTGATCACAAGCCAAAACCTGCCATTTTCAAAACACAAGAAAGGCATGGACCACCATGACAGACAGCCGTCACTGCTGGAGCCATCAGTTACCCACACTCATCTCTGATTTCCTCACCGTAAGCCTGGTGTGTGTGACTTTGTGTGTGTCTGTCTGTGTCTGTCCTCAACATCAACTCGGCAGCACAGCAAGACTGAGTCTGTCAGTTAATTTCAAAGGATTTACTAACCACTCAAGCGTCCAACACAGTATCTGCAGAACATTTTGAGCTCCTAGGTCCCATAGAAATCAAAGATGTTGATTATATTTTCATCTCAATTGCCAGGAAGTCTGCTCACTTTCACTAAACATGCCTCAAGGAGATGACAAGAATCTGTTTCACAGAAAGACTTTAAGGGCACAAGGAGGCACAGTGCCTGGCACACCATGGGCACTGGGCTCCCGCTGATCGAAACAAGATTGTTGCTGTATTGTTTGCAGAGCACGGAGTTCAGCTGAGCAACATGCAATGCTACTCACGCCTTGCCAAATCCACCCCCAACTTTCCAAAAAAATTAATGTTTCAAAATTTAGAGCTGTGAATTCCGCAATTTGCTAAAAGGACAATATTTTTTCTGGCCCCGTACTCCTGGTCTAGAGGTACTTCCCAGAAAAAAAGATAAACGGAGAAGTAAGAGTAATAGACAGAATCAATTCCAGAAAACAAACAATGGGTTTGTGTAGGTTACCTCTCAGCTACCGAGGAAGCTCAACATGTTGAAATTTTGGTGATTTCAGTTCACACTGGATCAAATGATTACAGTTACAGATGCGAGCTTGTGCTCTGGAGACCCATGGACACAAGAAAAAAATATGGCAGATACTTTAGGTCATTACCTCCAGCAGGTCATCATGGTTGAGTTGTGCAGCCACACTGGAAAACTCAGGTTAGCGTAAACCCCTTCCCGAACTACCCTTTTATCAGCCCTTCATCCTGGACACAGACAGAGCTCTGCCCTGCTCCTAATCCTTGCTACCAGCACATGAATATTCTTTCTAGTAACTCTTCCTGGTAATATTGGTAGTTTGATCTTTCTCAAATACATATCTGATCCTGTCACCGCGTCTTGCAAAATCCCTCCATGGTTCCTGCTTTCCTGACTCTTCAGCAAGGCAGGCAAGGCCCTTCACAATCCAGCTGCTCTCCCAGCCATTCTCACCGCCCTGCGCCCTCACACACACCAGCCTTTCTTTCTCTTTTTAATTTTTTTATTGCGGTAAAATATATATAAATATACCTGGCATACTCTTAGGTTTATACTCAAAAGAATTGAAAGCAGGGATTCAAACAGATACTTGTACACCCATGTTGGTAGCAGTATTATTCACAAGCCAAAAGGCAGAAGCAACCCAAGTGTCCATTAACAGAGAAAGGATATGAAACACAAATGTGATTTTAACCATTTTTAAGTGCACAATTCAGTGGCATTAATTACATTCACAATGTTGTGCAACCATCACCACTATCTATATCCAAAAACTTTTCATCATCCCAAATAGAAACTCTGTACCTATTAAGCAATAACTCCCTTTCCCCTCTCCCCTCAGCCCCTGGCAACCTCTAATCCACTTTCTGTCTCTATAAATTTGCCTATTCTAGATATTTCACCTAATTGGACATACAATGTTTGTCCTCTTGCCTCTGGCCGATTTCACTTAATGTTTTCAAAATTTCTCTTTGCCATAGCATGTATCAGAACTTCATTCCGTAGTGTTTATATAAAACACTGTTTATCCATTCATCTGTTGATAGACATTTGGGTTGATTCCCGCTTTGGGCTACTGTGAATAACGCCACAGTGAACACTGGTGTACACGGATCTACTCAAGTCCCTGTTTTCAATTCCTTTTGATAAATACCTCACAATGCACAGCCTTGTCCCCAGCATGCCTGTCCTCCAATCCCAGTGTCTTTACCCAGTTTATTCCCACTCTCTAGAATGTTCCCCTCCCAACTTACTTGCTTGGAAAATTCATAATCACTTTTAATTTTCAGTTCAAGCTCTGAAGTCATTTCTGACCACCCCAGTTTCTGGTGCTCCTTTCTCTGTGCTCCCTGGCACTTATCACATTGAGTCAGCTATCACATAGAACTGAAAGCCTCGTTTGCTTCTCTTGATCACACTTTCTGGTAGTGTGATGACAAAAATAAAGAATGTACCATAGTGTCTGGTACAAATGCCAGCTCTTATTATTATCTATTCTAATATGAGCTCAATACGTGGTATATATAGTAGTATACACGTATGCTACTATATATACCATATATAGTATATATGGGTAAAATATGGTATAATTAGTAAATTATATACTACATATAGTATATATAGTAAAATTACAATGCTTTTTGCCTCTGGGGCCTACAAAAACAAATAAACTCAATAAACTCTATCATCTTTCAGAGTCCACTGTACAAACCACGGAATATCTCAGATTCTTGGCTTCCTTCCTCAAGCAAAGACGCATAGCATAGCTCACCTTTCAATTATGTCATGAATGGCCCTCTGTCTGGGGAGCTGGAAAGGGGGCAAGTTACAGCCCCCATCAGTCCTGTGTGTTACCTGCAGAAGCTGTGGGGGCTGGTCTGGGAGGAAGGAGTTTGCAAAGCAGCCTTAAAATGAGGCCCAGAAGAGGTCAAGGCGGCTTGCTCTGTGCCTTGGCAACCTTAGCTGAACCCCAGGAATTCACACAGATCGTGACTACCCACATAGGGCACTAATAAACCCACTATTTACAAAGCACCTGTCTGGTAATGGAAACAGCAGCCCTGGTTCCACTGCTGTGTGGCTCTGAACCTCAGTTTCTTTATCCATAAAAGAGCGCTTGAGAGAATTAGGGAAAATAATATATGCAATAGCACTTTTTAAGCTGCAAGAAGCTAAACCTTCAATTGCTGTGATTACGCTTCTGTGCTCCGCCTTGGTGCGCCCTTTGAGGGCTGGGCTCCGAGACTCCAACTTTCCCCAAGTTCTCAAGAGACAACTACTAAAAATAAAGTGGCGGGGACCAACCGTGTGAAGCTCGCCGCCGCCGCTAGACGGAGTTTAAAAAGTCGGCTTGCGCCCTGGCAGACACCTGGGGACGGAAACCACACCTCGTCTGGAGCGCAAGAAGCGAAAGAGTCCGTGGGTGATGTGAAATACAGCCAGCTCGCGAAAGCGGGTCGGGACGCAGGCTCCCGGCCCCTAGGGTCTGCTGTCGGGAGGTGATGGCCCCTTTTTCTCTTTTTCCTTGCCCCATCCAGCTCCCAGTTTCTTTACAAGGGGAGGAAGGGCCTGTGAGTGGACTCCAAACCTCCCTCGCTTCCGTCCGCATCCCGAGCGCATCCCGCGCTGCCCGCGCCCGGGCCCGGCTGTACCTGTCGCGCAGGTGGCCGCTGCGCAGCCCCATGGCCGTGCACTCGGCCGCGCTCACCGGCACCCCCTTGCAGGACTTGACCGGGTAGATCCACAGCTGCGCCACGGTGCCCACCTGCTGCAGCCGCCCGCGCCGCCGGGGCCTCGCGCGGCGCCAGGCCACGGCCCCCAGCG